TGTTTTCTCTCAAGTTTTTCTGGAAACATTCCAATTCTTTTCCAGTTTTTTTATCTTGAAAAGTATCATTTTTTCCGGAAGGATATTGACTCCCCTTGCACACCCGTGGGATTTTACTGACTGTCTCCTGTGTTTTGCAGAGGTCCACCTTCCCGTGGCGGCTACGGAGGCGGCGGCTCCGGCGGCTATGGAGCTGGAGGTGGCGGCGGTGGCGGCGGCTATGGAGCTGGAGGTAACTACGGCTGTCGAGGAGGTGGAAAGGGGTGGGAGTGGAGGATGTGCAAGTGGCAATGGCTGTTATGGTAGCCCACGCGGCGAGGACGCTGAGCTTATTTCGAATGCCTCACGTATGCTCGCCTACAGTATATTTTCGTTTTGTGTGTGGTATCTGTAGATTGGCGAATCACTGCAACAAAACCTGCATTAAAAAAAAAAAAAGAAACATTCATGTTTAATGAATCAGCACAATGAAGCAGCATATAGTATATGCACCTGCAAATAAAGTTTCCTACAAGTTTTTCTCTTATAAAAGTTAATTGCAATCAGTCATTTTGTTTCTATTTCACCCATTTTGCCTTTTATTTTTCGAACTTAAAGATCTCTACCTTCAGTTCTCCCTTTGCATGCATTTATCACTGCTTTTAATCTCAAAATTCATTAACATCAAGATGATTGTAGCCATTTGCTCTGTCAAAATTAAATGCAGTAGTGCTTAGGCAAAATACGTCTGTAATTTTCTGTTAACAAGCATATGCAGTACCACCACATAATAAATTCACCAGTAGTTGCATTTTTCAGATTATTTTTGGTTTTCTGTCTTATTTGGAAGGGCAGCCTTGCTAATGTTTCAATATCTCCTTTGACTATTAATAGATCTAAGTAGGTTGTTCTGCTGGTCGTTGTAAAATAAATACAAAAACTATAAAAAGCTATTGTAGGGAAATAAGCCTCTCAGCTCATCCTCCCCTCTCCTACCTTTACCTTGGGTTTAAGTCTTGATTTAATCTGTGCTTAACTTGTATGCACAGATTTGTAACTTTTTCGTGTAATGTAATGCATAGGTGGAGCTGCAAATGGAATGGGAAACCCACCTCCAATGAATATGGGACCCAATATAGGGGGCAACGGCAATCAGTCAGGCCAGCGCAACTCCACCCAAGTCACCATTCCCAAGGATGTGAGTATTCTGTCACTTTCATAAAATAATTATGTCAGGCTTTATACTTTTGTTAACCCAGGGAAAAATATATTAAGTACTTGAAACATGCAGCAAGATATTTTTCTTTTTATGTCATTGAATAGTTATCATTTATTTATTTTTGCAATTTTTAAAGTTATTATAATTATATGGCATTGCCATTCACTTTTTCCGCATGCTATTTCTTTGCATAGTTAAATTGTAGTGCATTATTGTATGCTCTCCTAGTTCACATTACATAATTTGTATATGCATTTGATTTAATATGTCATGTCAAATGCTTTTAGCATCTACCTCAAATGTTTTCTTTTTTTAAATATATTTTCCCCTTCTTGGATTGTTTCTTCTTTAAAATCAATGCTGTATGTTTGACTTTTTTTATTGAAACCATGCCTTTCTATATAGTTCTGTATTGTTTATCATCTAATTAATTCCTATTTCTCTCAGATGGCGGGAGCAATCATCGGCAAGGGAGGCTCCCGCATCCGCAAAATTCGCATGGACTCGGGAGCCAGCATCACGATTGATGAGCCGGCAGAGGGCTCCAATGATCGGGTCATTACCATATGTGGAGCCCCCAATCAAATCCAAATGGCACAGTATCTTCTCCAGCAAAGGTTGGTATTAAATTCAACTGCCCATTGCTCTCATTGAGCTTTGATATGTTGTACATGTTTTTGGTTGTTGTTTTTTTTTTTTTTTTTCTTGCATCCGGGTGATTATCTCTGCATTTGTACTCTCATAATACTATATTCTTAAGTCGGTGTAACTTATTAAAACTTTCTCCCTTCTATACTTTTGTTTTAGAATGTACTAGGAATTATAATCTTCTTTGTTATTGTTTGATGTAATTTTCATTCCTATTTACTCATTTTGAAGTTAAATAAGGTTTATCATTTAAATACTCTTGTTCTGTGTAAGTTTCATCTTCTTGCTCTTGGCTTGGGACTTAAAACATCTTTGCCCCTTCATGGAAAGCGGATGCATGAGGGGTCATGGACTCATTGGTTATGGTATCTTACTCTTGGTGATGGACTGGCTGGACGGAGTGAAGCTTGAATGCTCTGCTGTGGTGTTTGGGCGGTACCGGCTGGGCTCTGGACTAACCTGCTTTGGCTACAACAGTATGGAAGACTAGTGATTTTGTTGTTCTGTATTTGAGAAACAAGGAATCACTAACTCCCGTACGGTAGTGGCCACTTGCTTCTGCCTGCAATCCTCTGCGATCCTCGCCTCCCTGGACTGCATCTGGAATGAGTTATCTTAGCATTTCCTGTTTGGTTTAGATCTTAGACCAGCATTCCTTGCACTCCATCTTGACTCTGTTAATTGTTTGAAATCCATTCTGAGAAATGATTTTGCATGTCTTACTCTTCAACTACAGCCCAGCCTTTAAGCATGTCACATTGTCAAATCACTTGACTTACTTTTACTCAAGATGTGGTGCAAGGATTCTCAATTTCTACATAACTTCAAATTGTGATGTAAAATTATGAAATATGTGATCTTGTCTCCTTACCACTTTTCATGTTATGTATGTGATTATATTTGTTACATATATACCTACTTGATTATTCTTCCTGTCTATACTTAAGTTGTAAATTGTACTCAACTTTCTTGTAAACTTGTAAAGTGCCTTTTCTCTCCTGAAAATTAACTCTTGGTTTTGCTACTTCTGTGTTACAGTGTGCACGACAGCTCAAATGAACGATATTGACATGACCGCCAGGAGGCTCGCCAATCTCCAAATGCATCTGAGGTTGCCAAGTTTGAAAAGCGATGGCTCCCGTAGTAGTTTTGAAGAATTGACGATGCCTAGTACTAAGTACTCGTGTTATAACATTTTTGCAATATTATTTTTATTATGGATTGCATTCTGTCAAGCACAATATGTATGTTCTTATGTGTACCTGATTGACACAACAGGTTTTGTTGCATTTCAAGTCCTGAGTAAGGGCCACCATATTGTAAGTTGTACCTGGGTACATTTTTAGGAAAATTTATTTGTAGTATCATTTTTTCCTTTATCAAATATTCCATGTCTCATCAACACATCACTTATCGCTCATGGTGAATTTTCACTAATTTTCTTTATGCAAACCCACCTTTACCACAATGTTTGTGAATTGTGTACATTTTTGCTTTTTTCTTTCTGTACCAAACTTTTGTTTTTATATTCCTTTTGTATCCCAGTACCTTTTTGAGCCCATCATCTTGTCGATGTGAATGTTAATTTAGCTGTTTGTGGACATTCTCACCTGTTTTTTTTCTGCAGATTTAGTGTAAATCTCTTTGATAAGCATTTTTCTTTTACTTTGTGTGTTGAGAGGCTATCTAGCTCCATTTTTTTCCAGTCGTGGTGCATCAGGAGACGGGAATAATTGTGAACCTCCCGAGTGACCTTATTTCTAGTTAGTGTAAATGACATGGTAAACTAGGGTGACTTTGGATCATTATTTCCCATGAACATTTTATAGCTGCCCTTTACATATCCAAGGTTTTCTTGCTTTAACTCAAAGATTTTAGAGCTATGTGTTATCACACATGTGACTAGTCTACAAAGCATTCCAAAGGAGCTTTTATGAATTAAACTAACCTTTCAATTTTAAGCTGCAAGTACCTTGGTTAGGCCTAATGGGTTTTACCATTGGTTTTTATTAGCATTATGTGGAATATTTGCCCCTCTATTTTTTGGTATCAAAGTCACTTTAGTTTATTGTACATGAAAATCGATGAAGTAGGCCTGTTTCACTGCATCGGCCTAAAATGGCTAATAGGCACTCCCCTCCTAAAGAGTTAACTTCTATTAGGTTACTAGAGTATTCTTAATAGTTACATGTAACTTGCGAACACTACCTCACGGTACAGTTATTCTGTACATTCATGTGCACACACCAGTGAACAAGATGGCATGTTTAATGTGATCGTACAATGCCTTCTAGATGTAAGTGTAGGTGGAAATGACCCAAAAGCTGAGTATCTATATCAAGAAATTCAAAATTAAGCTGAATTATAACTATCACTGTGCCATTATACGCTGAGACTATATGTTCTAAATTTTAATATCAACTGACTCGCACGAGTTGTTCTTTTTGCAGATTACTCAGCTTTGAAGTGTCATTTAGAACTCTGTTTTAAGTAAAACTCGAGTCATTTTTATTGTCTTCCTTTGAGTGTGTATGTACCAAAAGAAAAGGTGGCCTGGATAAATCAGTATGTACATATAAAGTTGAAATACGCAAGTCTAGTTAATGATAGGTGGTGTAAGTAAATTAGGCATTCTAGCTGAGCCCGATGTAGTTTGTCTCCCGCCACAATGAATCATTGTTTTAATGTTTTATTTCTCACAGTTTGTACCTATGTACTTTGATGAAATGCAATTTAAGGCAGAATCAGTAACATCTATCAATTGTTAATGATGGTTAAAAATTCTGAACTCTGATGTGAATCAATAGTCCTTAAATAAATGAATAAATTAAATACCCATGATATTTTTAACCTTTCCAACTAAATCTTACATGGACAAATAACACCACATTGTCAAGAGTCAATACGGTAAAGGAAAAATGAATCCGCCCTTCCCCCCATTTAATTTTATTTTTGTCCGGGTGGGGGGAGTGGGGCGTGAGCACTTACGATGCCAGGCGGACTTATTTCTACAGCCGGTTCTAATAAAGCTGTCTGTGGCCGTGTCGGTTGTAGCCACAGGGACGTTCACACACACACATTAATTGGCTGTATGCGGATTTTTCGAATCCTACTAGTAGCGCGAGTTTTCATTTTGTTCTCCCACCACGTCTTTTTATTTGATGGGGGAGAAAGAGCGACAAATTGGGGGAGGGGTAAGTGTCGTTTTGTCCTCTGTCCTCCCGGAATTTTGATCCGCGGAGATACCCCAAAGGACACGATCCACTCCCCCTCCCCGGTATTAGAGGCTCACGGGCCCAGGTCCAGGGACGTCCCAACCGACACTGCCACAGGCAGTCTCATACGAAACGACTGTAGAGAAAAGACACCGTCTCCCAACCTAAGACAAAAACAATAAAAATGGGGGAGTAAAGCCCCTTACACCGCAGCAGTTTGCGACATGCGGAGTTTCGAACCGCTGACCTAGTGCGAAATGCAGCCATAGCACTGAACGGGCGACGGGCGGCTTACGAGGCCGCGAAACAAATAATTGTTGGTGAAAACGACGGTTTTAATTTTCACTCGAAAGTTTTTGGGCTGAGAAAAAATAGAATTTCATAGAGATTTCAGCGGAACGGGACGAGGCCTAGTTTTTTCGTCATGAGCCTCGCTTGCTCAACCAATTCTTAGCAGTTGGAGAGCATTGGAGCAATCTGGACAGAGGTGAGTGGGGTGAAGGGGGATACCGATAGAGGGCCCTTCTTCCAACTGACCCTTCCCTCCCTAGGACCCCCCCCC